GATGCAAGGAAGAATAACATGGGACTGATAGGAGTCCACGAAAAAACAGGAGAAAGTACAACTGATATTAAAAAAACTGTTCACAGAACTAATGGTGGAAAGCTTTCCAGACAGAGATGGAGAATTGGACATACAGATAATTGAGGCATACAGAACTCCAACTAGCCATGATCAAGAAAAATCTACATCTAGACATATAATAGTCAAGATCCCAGAAGCCCAACGGAAGAACAAAATTCTACAGGCAGTTGGAGAAGGGAGATGGATCACCTATGGAGGAAGGCCCATTAGAGTTGGGGCAGATTTCTCAACACAAACGTTCAAGTCAAGGAGAGCCTGGAGTGAAGTGTTTCAGGCCCTGAAAGAAAATGGCTTCCAACCTAGACTGTTGTATCCTGCAGAATTATCTTTCAAAATGAATGGGGAAATTGGATGCTTCCAGGGTGGAGAAAGCCTGGGAAATTTTGTGAACACCAAACCAGCTCTCCAAACAATTTTAAGCATATTCTAGAAAGAGACAATGAGGGTCACAACTCCATGAGGCCAAACAGAGGGATGCCACCAGGCAGGGTGGGACACTAGAGGGAAAGGGGGGGAGAAGTGAGAAATAAAAAAGCCAACAACAGTAGAGCATCATGACAAGGATGAGTCAATGTCTGTCAATTGTAACTATCAATGATAATGGCCTCAATTCACCAATCAAAAGAGGTGGCCTAACAGAATGGATTAAGAAACAAAATCCAGCAATATGCTGTATACAAGAAACACACCTAACTCAAAAGAAATTTCATAGACTGAAAGTAAAAGGATGGAAAACAGTTCTCCACACCACATAAACCCAGAAGAAGGCAGGTGTAGCAATCTTATTTGCAGACAAAATAGATTTCAAACCAAAACTAATTAAGAGAGACAAAGATGGTCACTACATCCTTGTGAAGCGAACAATCCAAGAGGAAGAGATGACAGTCCTAAATATATATGCACCAAATACGAATGCCCCCAAATATACAAAACCAATATTAATGGACATGAAAAACCAAATAAGCACTAATACAATTGTAGTGGGGGACCTCAA